CGACTATGATATGCTTCTGCATTGTCTGCTTCACTTGATGCTATATGCTACTTCATGCAGTGCTCTTCGTGCCATAGATGTTTGTTTGGACTGCAGTACACACATCATAAGAAGCATATAAGAAGTAGCTACATCATTTATCATACAATTATTACAGAGTGGAAATGGCTTGATAGAATTTCTGGTGCAGACCAGGGCTGCATCACTGCATACGCTATTGCCCGTGAAGCCATTATAGAGTACTTGGAATCCATCCACTTCCCCTTTGATTTGTGGAGTAACTGGTACCGTAGTTGTAACCAAAGGTTCCAGAAGGCATTCTTCCATTAACTGCAAAAATCACAGTTACTTTTTGGGACATCCAGAGTACATCTTGTGGTTGTAAGGAACGTACGCTATCAAACACTTATTCATTTTTCACTTTATAATTTTCATCTGAAGCATTTTTTTTAGATTCCATAACCTTAACTTCCTAATTCTCACCGTATCCCATCCCATTGACTCCCGGGCCCCAGCCATTCAATAGTCCGCCGCCATTGGGTCCATTGTAAATCGCGTTGTCTCCATTGAACACACCGTTGCTTCCCCAGTAACTTCCAGAGTTTCCTGCCTGCCCATTAGCTGGAGAAAAGACACAATGTGCCAAAATGCTACTCTTCATTTACACTTTGATTTCACCTCTGCTATTGGTCCCAGCACCAGCCAATGATGAGAGATACAACTCTATTATGGATTGAACAATCTCATTTTGCCTGTTATCAGCTCTATTCGTCAGTGATGCAGTTCTGTTGAAGGCTAGCATGACTGATCGCCGCTAGAAACTTGACAAGTCACGACAATGCTTTCACATGGAGATACCAAAGCACCTTGTCATTCCCATAATTCATGTAGTCAGTGAGAAACTTTGTAAGCATGGGATATAATTCACTAATGGCTTTTTTCAGGTCCGCATTTTCCCTTTGCGATTCCGTGAGGAACCTCCTGTATTCTTGCTGAAATCATAAAGCGTAGGCTTGGATCGTCCTTGAACTTTCTAAAGGCATACCTCAAGTCCGTACGTTTTGGCCCAATTTTCAAAGTTTGTCCTCAAAAAAGCGAGTGACTGGGAAAAGTTCTGAATAAATGATGTTTTTTACATCTTGTGCTATCCGAAAATAATTATCAAGCATGTTACACGCACCTGTACGATTTGAAAATAGCCGTTGATAGCTTGAGGAGGAGCTCTGGCTAGAAGCTGGTCCAGTGCACTGTTGCGACTGTTTGCGTTCTAGACACGTTACTCTCTGTTTCATGACTATTTCGAATTCAATCAGTATACATCTAATCAGCACTAGCAACTCAAGCTCTGTCTCACTTTACATACCAAACAATAGCCATTTTCGGTAGTGGAAACCGTTCCCACTTCAGTTTTGTTGTTTTTGGATACAATTATGAATATTCTTGATATTGTGACAAGGCGGCTTCAATGCACTGCTAACCTGATAATTGTTGTAGTCATACGGGTAGTAAGAATTGTGTATGGAGAGGCAGAGTGTGCCTCCGATAGTTAACAGCAGTAGGAGCGTTTTCATTCTAGAATTGCAACGCAGAAGTGCACTGCAGTCTTAATGAAGCAACATGTCGAGAAAAATTTGCAAGCATTCGATGCAAAGCTTAACGGCTGATTGTTAAAATGATAGGCAAGCTTGTGCGAAACGATGATTCTGAGATGCGGTGACTATTATTCTATATTACATTCACAAATATATAAATGGTAACTCATATTTTTCGCTGACAAGATGTAAACAGGAGCGGCGCCGTACGTAAGTTGTTGAGCAAAATTATAGTCTTGAAAGATGCTTCTAATACGGCGTCTGTTGCGCACTGCTTTTTCAATGCACCAAAACAGCTGTTTTTGGACATTGCATTCGAGTTTTCGAGTAATCTAACCTAAGAAGCTCTTAAAGTCACCGTCCACCCGGATTCGCCCGACCTTGAGCGTTGACTTGATAGGGGGCCCTACCATCATATGCCGCCAAAAGTTCAAGACCTTCAACCTAGGGTGGACGGTGCCTTCAGGATGTTGTTGGAAAGCACTTCAAAAGATTATGTGGCAGTTAAGTGGCGTAGAGCAGATAATGTGTTCTACCACTGCACCCCCAGCTTTTATAGTTAAATTGTTTGCTCATATGGTGTGAGGAATTTTGCTTTTGCACGGTTGAACCATGGGAATTAGCTACCAAGCGCATAAAAACATATTCTCAATCGTTTTGTAACAGCTGAGCAATCATCATTAGATCATGTCAGCGCGTTGATCATGTCTGATCATCAAATCCATCAAAGATCGTGAAGTTGCACACCATAGCTCAAAAGCGCGATTCTTTAGCTGTAATGAAATGGAATAGAATGACTGTAACCTATCTTTGTTTTGATAGACGTTGTGACATAATAGAAAACCGACAGGCTTAAGAGATTTTCAAGCTGCACAGTAAATTTCTTACCAAGTTTTTAAGAGCTTGTCCCATCCAAAAAGCCAGAAAAAACCAATCACTTACCGCTCGGAAGATTGCTCTTTGATGCTGCTTGCCGACTTGCAATACACACTACACTGCAATACACATACATACATGCTTACAAATGAATAGTCTGAAGAGTTTAGTTTTTGAAAAGCTGTGCACCATGACGCAGGGCAGAACCCTGACCTCAAATCTACCTTTCCTTCTTCGTGAAGCACAGTACCAGAAATGTAAACTGTAGACTGTAAACGTATCTATCGTCAACAATAGACTCAGACCGTTTACTATCTGAATATCTGGAGCAACATGAGCCAAATATGATTTTTATCTTGTGCTTGCACATATGCACGATTTCCTTGCCAAGGAATTGCTTATAACCAAGGTCAAGCGTGGGATTTGCCACATCTTGAGGATCGTATCAAAGGGTAAGAGATTGAAGGGCTTGTAATCGAGCCGTACATAGCAAAGTCAGCTAATTGTAAGCTCATCAAACAAAGTAGCACACTGAGGAATTGATCCATTATCGTATACGTGCACTAAGCATGAAAGGACGCTCTATAAAGCAAAATGAGTATGATTTCCTTAACTGGCATGTTAAATAAATAACCCATGTGGACCACTTTTAGTGAGTTCAGGAGTTTTCAGTTATCGAGCCACTAGTGTGTAACGGCTATTTTCGATCACGACTAACTATAATTTGAAGGTGAGTATCTCCAATTTGGGTCAATAACGAGCTCACTCTTTTCTGCAGGCGTGGATTGCAATGCCGACCGCGATTACCCGGCGTCGCGTTCGCGGACAATGGCTGAGCACTTTGCCAACTTCCGCTTGATGATGCCTATTTAAGCCTTGAGTCCTTCTTTTTCCAAAACTTTTTTTCGATGTTCTTATCAATATCGTCGCAGGACGTTGCACGTTTTCTCTTATTTTAGTGACTAGTGGTAATAAAATATTTCAATATTTTCAGTATTTTGGAATATTTGAAAATATTTATAAAAATATTTTAGTCCAGGTTTTGAGTTTATTTGGTTGTTCATAAACACTACATGTCACTCTGCTTGTGTAGACATTAGCCATTCTAAGATTGGATGCCCAAAAAACTTTGCAGCTTGTGATCAGCGCTACTACCAGTGGTGTTCAATGAGTTAACACGCGAAATAGCGAGAAACTAGTGCTGGTCAAACAACGCGTGTGTTACTGGTATGGAGTATCTTCTCAGAGGTGGCATCAAAACGGACAAAACTAAATTCGTTCTTGTTTAATTGGTAGTTTCATGCGGTATGTGTGGAAATACTGAAAATCAATCAAATTAACAAAGAAAGTGAACTTGAAAGAATCAATTTTGTGATTGTTGAGAAAAACACGAAAATTCGGGCTTTCCAGTGCTATCCAGCACAAATTGGCAAGGCACTCAAGTCTTACGCTCGCAAATGTGGCGCAAGGATGCGGAGGTACTGCGGAAAGGGAGCTCGTCACACATCCTATACCCTTTTTCACTTATACTAGACTACACTGCACTACACTCCGAACTTACACTAGTATTAGATCGAAACAATCTCAGTCAGTTTACTCTTTGGGATACAAAAATTTTTAGTGTCTTCAATTATGGAAATTTTTGGAAGTGGGAAAATAAGCCAGCTAGATATACAATATCGCGTTCCTCACGCAAACAGGATATTGTAGATATTACTACGCAACAATTTCCGGCATCTTTGTTTTGCCAAACCAGATGTACAGATTGTTTTGTAGCTTGACGGAATCAGAAACATGTGCATGTGCAACGAACAATCAATGCGATCACCCATTCGTTAGCTCTATGGTGTTTCGGAAATTATTGCAATCATTCCGTATTTACGCTTATTCACGCATTTAAAAGCAACAATTCCAGTTCAGAGATTTTGTGCATATAAAGCATACACATCTCTTGACAAACAAAATAATAAGCAAAGAGATGGCTCTTCTTGCGGTTTTCTTCATAAAGTGTTCCCACATGTAGTTTTCCGAACAATCATCTCTCGCAATGTGTGAATTCTTTCTCCAAAAGAGCATTCTCTAAACTATTTCAGTATTCATGTCTGAACATTAGCTCTCTCTTATTTTCTGAACCTTGATTTTGTGATGCACGCACCTACTGTCTATACGTATATGTCTGAAAACGCTCAATAGTTACATAATCTTGTGTAGACGGGAAACTTGCCTGTTTATAGCCTAAATAGGCTCCATGAGTGCAGCTATTCGCTGTGAATAAACGCTGCAATGCAAACTATCATATGCAAATCATGACAACTTCCGCGTTTCCCTAAGCTTCTTTGACTTTCTTTAATCATAATTATTCGTTTGATAATGCTTCCATTATTGAAACAAAACATTGCGAGAGTGCAAACGCATTTCGTGGAAAAAAAAGTATGATTATAGGACGGCATAAACGATGGAATTGTTTAGATTTAGTGACTCATGGATTACATATTTATGAGTCACGAGAGGATTTCTCAGTAGTTTGAGCACATCAGTCAGAACTCCTCTGCTGCTGACCACCTCATTGGCCTCTTTATATAACCGATTACCTTTCAGGGAATCTGACGGAAGTACCACTTATCTCGAACTTGCATTAAGCTGCAATTAGTTAAAAATGGACAGGTAAGATTAAATTAGACATGTAGCTCCATTCTGCCGTTTTTTTCAAATTGTACTGGGTATCCTTAAGAAAATGTGTCGTTCAATCTTTAATGACTTATCTATAGGGAAAATTTCCACGGATCTTTGAGTGTCATAGGTAGAGCTGGGTTCAACTTAGATTAACTTTATAGAGCGAGTCACCGATTTCTCCTAATACTGTAGGATCACGGTAAGAAATTTCGACTAATTTTAAGCTTTGACAGGCGAGAACTGCGTCTGAAAAATTCCGAAAAAGACGTCAGAATGAGGTTTTCGGGGATGCTGAATCTAGTTACAAAGCATTCTGCTACCAACTTCTCCTTCCCACGGTAGGCGCACTGTAACGCTAAATTTTCGGCTTTTGACGACTAGTTTATAATTGCAACGTTTAGTAAATTTTGGAAAAAGCCGAAAATTTAGCGTTACACTGCGCCTACTGTAGGAGGATGAGAAGTACGGTAGCGAAAAACTTTGTAACTAGATTCAGCATCCCTGTCATTTTAACGTCCCTCGGGTTTTTTTTGGAATTCTTCAGACACAGTTCTCGCCTGTCAAAGCCTAAAAATAGTCGAAAATTCTTACCTTAATCCTACAGTAACTGGGAGAAATCGGTGATTCGCTCTATACTGCAAATCTAAGTCAAACCCAGCTCTACCGTAAGAGGCTCAAAGATCCGCGAAAGGTTTCCATATAAAGAAGTTATTAAAGATCAAACGTTCGATACATTTTTTGGGACATCATGTATAATTGTTTTCCCGGTAACTAATATAGCCCTTTAAGTATTGTTGTTAGTTTGGCAACAATACAATCAGTTTTCATCGTGATTCATTGGGGAGCTCATGGATGTGATTGTAAAGCTGATTGATTGTAAAAAATGGAAACGGGTCTATCAACACAGTGGAAGCAATATTCTGCTCTCTTGTCGTCTTTGATCAAGTCTTACATACAAGCTAATGGTCAAGCAGGTTTCAAGGTCAGAGTCTTCTAGTTTATTCTTACTTCCACATTTACTCCCTTCGGTTTGAGACTAGCTGGCATTGGGTTTTGCTATTTCTTTTTCTTTTATGAAACACCTTGAGTGTATAAGTAAAGTAAAGTAAAGTAGAATGAGCTCACAGAGGTTTTTCCGCATTTCCAATGCATCGTTTTCTGCGATGTTTTCGACAAAAAAAAACTTTCCAGTGTGAACGGTATTTTCTTTCACTGTTGTTTATTGCAAACTCCCTCTCTTTGCGAAAAACGATTCTGCAAATAATTTCATCAAAAGCATTCTTAACATCCTTAGCCCTCTAGGTTGTCAATATTTTTCAAGCAGAAGTAGCGCAACGATAGTAACATTAATAAAACTTATCGTGGCCGCTTTTTGGTTAAACACTCTTGCAATCATTTCTTGTTGGACAAAATTATATCTAATGTATGTAAAAATATCTTCTTTGTTTTACGCTTAATATAGCTTGACCCAACAACCTTTTGTTTATAGGTGACAAATTTGATTAACTTTTTCAGGTTTTCTACCTTGATAGTGTTTTCGTTCGTTGTCACAAGCTCTTTCTCGCAGCTCTCTCAGGTTTGTGGGTGTCAATCAACATGAGCAAAATCAAGTATTTGCAGTCACAGACTGAGACAATACCTTTTGCCAAAGGTGTGGCACTGGAAGGTCAAAGAAAATTGCTTAACATAATTAACGTAAGTAATAATAGATCATCGTAGTCCGTTGTAATTTGCAGTTCTAGGACCGAAGCTTGACTCACGGGCAATTCGATGATGCAATGACGGAATGGGCGCGACAGAATGGAGTGGAGGCAAACTTTGGCGAGTTTCAACCTCGCACAGCGTTTTCATGCTTACCAACTTAGGAATCCTACAATAACTTCAAAGATACCATCAATTCTCAGAGGAAAACAGCAGAAGAAGAAATTGATACTGCGCTGGTAGCGTTGACTTCGGCTATAAAGGAAATTCGAGATATAGAAAGCAATGCGGTAATCGACTATAAGAATGTGCTGAGAATCTCCAGTTTATAATCAAGCTTCAGAATTTGACATGGGACGAGGCAGCTGAGAAGAAATATCAGTTATTTGAACACATGACGTTTGAGCAGTCCCAACTTCTAGCGTTCATGCTGTCTCTTTATGCACCACCATTTGCAAGGATGCCGCTGGAACAGCCAATGCCTGGACCTCGCACGCAAGAACCTTATGGGGGATTTGGACTAGGAAACGGATTCGGACCAGGAAATGGCTTTGGACCCCGTGGAGGATTTGGACCCCGCGGAAGATTTGGACCACGAGGACGTTTTGGATCAAATGGCCCGTTCGGCCAATACGGCGGATTTGGGCTCCGAGGGTCAATATACCCAATGCACCACTGGCACCATCACATCTTCCGAAGATCATTTGATGGTTGGTAATCTACCTTTCGGCACGTACTGATGCAAACGGTCAAGCCATCAGTCCTTTTTTACGCATGATATGTAGCAAAAAATAAAGATTGAGAACTCTATGCTTTACAAAGCGGCATGATAAGCAATGATGTCCTCTAAGGTTTATTGTTTCAATGAAATGAAAATTTGGTAGTTGACATATACAAGGTGTCCCAAATAAATGTGAACACTGTTTGATATTCAATAACTCTCTTACCATTCTGTAGATTGGGGTTTAACGATTTACAGTATGGAGCAAATGACCAATCACTCTTCATCACTGTGTAATTACGGTACGAGCTTTCATCACAAAGCGCCGCTGTGAATTGGGCCTTTTGAAGAAAAAAAAATCCTAAAGAATTTGGAAATTCGTGTAGTAAGGTTTTCAGGCATGCTGATCTCACTACGCAACTTTTTACCAGGTTTCTGAGCTTTCAATGGTGCAATCACACTTTTACGAAAAATGGAAAAACGGATGTTACCTTAAACCTGAAACAACTTATGAAAGAATTTTTACAGTGAAGTGCAAATTTCATATTCAAAATCAGCAACTTCGACTAGTTCCATATAAATGTTTCTGGGTTGTTTAGTTTTCTTTCTGAGGCAAAACTTTCACTTCTCTAAAATCCTTCTCAAAGTTCATACCGTAATTTTACAATAATAAAGAGAGATTGATGCATCGCTCCATAATGTAAATCTAATGAACCTCGCTCTACACAACGATGCCTCAAGCTTGGCGAAAGACATGAAAGCAAGAGAGTTATCAACAATCAAACAATGTTTTTATGGGACGCCCTGTATGCAATCCACATCTTTGCTTTGTTATGAATGTAAAATGATCATCCTACTATAATAACGCGCTAAGGCCGTCTGTTTTTTTTTCTATGTGTGTGTCTATCCGTTACGAAATTCGTAGAGCGTGTTCTAGCCAACGTCCTGAGCTCAAATTTTGCATAGCGCACGCTACCAGCATGAAAGCTCACTATACAAAAGCATAAGCGGATCCGTTGCGTGGATCTATTGAAAATTGCGCGTCAAAGATCCACTTGGCTTCTGGCCAACAGATTTGGGTCCGTAGACTACTTTTTGCAGAATTATGGATATATTTGACAAATTGATGCAAGCCATGGACTTTAGCCTAAAAAGTGATGAAAAGTATACTACTTACTAAAACAGCGCCAAAAAGCATTGGCTGTGTAAACGGTCAATTTTTCGAGATTTAACTTAGTCACTGGTATAGCAAATATGCATGTCGTTCTCAATTAGATTCACAATTTTTCTGTGAAACAAGTACTACTTGCACTGCGAACTAGAAAAGTTCAAATGGTGATGTGCACATTAGAGAATCCTTAAATAGGCATTTTTCTTTTGCTGACCATGAAATTTCGCTTGGGGGAAACTTACAAGCTTGAAGAAGAACTACGTGAGTGTTCAAAGAAAAAATTTTTGGAAGTAATTTTCATTCAGACTCAAGGACAGTTGCTTACAATACTAAGCTCGCTTCGATGATGAGATTTATCAGCAGCTCTCTAAACTGTCAGCCAAGAAATTACGAAGAAATTTCAGTAACAAGGACAGGATGCTGTAATCATTTCAAGATGCGACGAGACTATAACCATGCTCCTAACTCAAAAATAGCTCCTATAAAGATTCTCAGGAAAATTACGCTTTGAAATCATACAGCCGTTTTTCAACAAATACGGTTTTGAGAGTGATTATACTGCGAATTTTTTTGACCGCGCGATGGTTTAAGTCTTCTATATGTTCGGCTACCTTAGAAGGTTTGCCGGATTCCTACAAACTGCGGCCAGGGCCCGGCACGAGGTGGGCAAACGGGGTTTTCCAAAACGAATACCCCTCTGATTTCAAAAATTTTTACGAATACCACCTTGAGCACAAAAATGACGCTTTGTGCTTGTGCAACGAGAGCACCGGCCACACTTCGCCTAAAAGCGCTCAAAAGCGCCCAAAATGCTTAAATTCCTCTAATTACTCCTCACCTGTATCAAGATGAAAACAGGAAGAAGAATAAGCAGGAAAAATGATGAGGGAATGAAAAAATATTAAAGCAACGCAGTCATAAAACTGAGAGACGCCGTTCCCGCGCGTATCGATTGACTGGGACGTGCTTCCTATGATAGGCTAGGCTGCTGATGCGATTTTGGGATCTGAAGACAAGAGGAGGAGTTTCGAAACTAAAACCTCACCACATAGTAAACTTTAGGTGCACAACAGATTTATGTAAAAATTTTGAAAAAAATATGTGAACTGAAAGTTTTGCCCACCTCAGGTGGGCATAAGGTGGGCAATTGCCCATTTGGAAAAAAGTTGGGTACGCTCTTCATTTACACAAGTTTTTCATGATTTTACATACTTTGTTCCCTAGTCCTACTGCGCGTATACACAGCGATGTAAGCGATACACAGTAATGTCGCGCGATTTCGTCATCTCTGCGTTGCAAACGAGAAATTTCCCACTTTCAATTTTCTTGATAGTGGGAAATTTTCAGAAAGAAGCTTGCCACAACCTTCAATTACGTAATTTTTCAATGAAACTTCTAAATTAATCCCTGCAGACCCCGTGTTCATGTACCTACCAAATTTCATACCGTAAGGTCATCTATGCGCTGCAAACAAGCCATCTGAATTCACGTCTTCATTTACCAATTTTGCAAATTTTTTGGAAAAATGCTTATTATTCCTCCCATTCACATAAGTTTTTCATAATATTTCATGTTTTGTTTCTACTAGCCTCTCTTCGTTCGCTTACATAATTTGGTGTTATATCGTTACGCCTGCATTAAGAACTGATTATGTAATCATGCTGTTTAACGGCGTCGCTCACGCGGCGATTAGCGGCAACGCGACGTAGCGCGCGCGAACTCTGCTGAGCGTTGAGGTTTATGAAAACTATTTCCCAATGAATTAGATGTATAAGGTAAGCATGATTCGACCTTCTTTTGCTTGCACTTGGAATCTTCTTATGAGGCTCCGCCCCGGATCCCGCAAAAACGATATCCCCTTTGCTTTTTGGCTTGAAAACGACTTCCACCTTGTCATTTGCCCACTTCGTGCCGGACCCTGACTTTCTTGCAGTTTCCAACTCCCGTTTTCATGAAACTTGGACATTCGCTGTATTTCTAATTTAATTCTTTGCCGAACAGGTTGTCAAGCGATGTTTATTCTTCTTCCAATCACGGCCGCTTCGACGCTTTCGTCTCCCTCAGAGGCCTGAATGGTTCCAAGTGTTATCTGTAATACCAGTCCACCAAGCACCTCCTCTAATCTGCCAGTTTTCGACCCTCCCACAACCTCGTTACCACATAAAACGTCAACGCGAAGGACATACCAGAAGAGCACCGCTTCCCGAGTAGTCTGCATCCGAAGTAAATGACTGCGGGAGACGAATGAATCGTAGTATGGAAACACATAAATGATCTACTTACACATCGCATAACGATACGAACGGGAGGAAGTCAAAACTTGCCAATGGACACTCGTTCTTATTATTCATGTCTGGATTCTTTGCAGGGATGCAGAAAGCTTCTAACGCTTTCCTAGCCGTGGTCTTCGTTTCGCATGTAAAGATTTTACATACAGTGAAATCTTCTCCATTATGTCCGAGTTCTTATGCCTCCCAAGCGGGAGCCCACTTTAGGCTGTTAATGGGAAGAAGCATAAACTTCGCTCAGCAAACCAGTTCGGCACAGAAGTAATCAGAAATTCTTTTTGCTTGTCGGTCATGTCCAGACAAGGCTCTTTGAGTATGTATAAACCCACTGATCTTGCGCGAACACCTTTCGCCAGTCCTAGGATGCCACAATAAGGGGTGGCTCATGGCCAGATGTACAGTAAGACAAATATTATATTTAGCATGCAGAAGGCTGTTTTCCGAAGTTCCAGACCTTATCATGGATTAACAGCTCTTCGAGAATTCAGTTCTTACGAGTTGATTCATTGTTCGAAAGCTATTAAAATAAAGCTTAACTGGTGTACGGAAATTGAGGGACCTTCAAAAAACAGATGTTACAATAACTTAACTTGATTACCAAATAAAAAATTGCGCTTAAGTAACAATTTCTATACCAGAAACAACAGAATGCTCATTAGCAGTAGAGCTATTGAGTTTGACTTGAAAATAATCGTGTTTATACGTTAAAGAGCGATGGATGCAGGGTTCGGCATGTGTTGGTTTCGAGCATTTTTGAGAACGATCCTCATGACCCCGTAAATTATCCCGATTCCCCATAAATCTATTGTCCATTGTGTTTCGTTGTTGTGTCTAATGGCAAGAGAAACGTCGATGTTTACAAAAGTTCAGCACGCAGAAAGACAAAATTTCTCTTCATCAATGTAATAAAAACATTCTTAGCGATGACAGTCTTCTCCCTGCGCCTTCACCTGTGGCAGAGAATCGTAAATAGAAAGAGGGTTTGATAGAAGTCTTACCTCGCTCTAACAGTCAAACTTCTGGGTCAGTAGTAATCCAATCGAAACTCCGAGTAAGCTCCGCGTTAACTCAGAGATAACTCTGAATTTGGTTATCGAAACTCAAACTTATGCTTTTTGAAAGTCTGAGTTTCATTCTCAAAGTTCCGAGCTCCAACTCTCAAGCTTGGAGTTTTGCTGTTTGAGGAGCTGTTACGCACTTTGCTGCAAAAGCGAAGTTTGCTGGTACTCGAAGCTGAAGCCTTCGGTCTAGCGTAATGATCCCATCACAAAACCGCTAGGCCATGACACACCCTTTTTAATCCATATTTGTTTTGTCATAATGATTCATTAAATCCCAGGTCCCGTCGATGAATCCTGGCATGACTGTATAATCTTGTATCAGCTGATCCAACGGAGGCCAAAATTGGTAAACATTATTTATTGACTTACGTACGTTTCGGCGTCTCCGCCTTCTTCAGAGCCTGGAAACGTCGAAGACATTTCCAATATACCCTCCCAAATGCTTCGTTTTCACCGCATCGGTACAACTCAACAGCCAACAAAGCCAAAACAAACTAGAAAATACTGATAGGGTTAGCGCTCACCTTATAGCCTTGCGGATAAAAGGAAGCGACCACCGAGCAGTTGCGCCGCTACTGATGAGGTTACTGATATGTTGATCACTGCTCCGCGCTTGACCCGACCCCGGCGTGTAGATTAAAATCTACAAAAGGTCCAGAAGGGTGCCAGCTCGTTTGTGATGGCAACGCCTTCTTCTTTTCTATTCATTTTTGGATTTCGAGAGCAGATTCACAACGCCTCAAATGTATTGCCTGCTATAGTTTGGGGCTTGTGCGATAAGATGGTGACCGCCGTATCAAATGTGGTATTTTTATGGCAGAACCTGCTGTGAGCACTCAGGATGTCGATGATCAACCTTTCGCGAGTCTGTTCAAGTGCTCCTTTGATTTGAATGCACAGAGTTCGACCTGCTTCGCCTACATACTCTTCACCAGGACTACGCCCGCCTTTATGCAATCTCGTGGTTACGTGTGGGCATATCACGCAATCAGGAGTTGTGCAAGTGCTATCATAGGCGCGGTTTCGTATTAAATGCTTTTGAGGTTGGAGGGATGGATCTACAACCCCAAGTAATCTTGAAGACCGGATTGGTGCAGACATGCCCCTGCTATAAAAACCTCGAAATCTTTTCTCTACACGTGTGCCTACCCATTTGATATCACAATGCGAGCAGGCTCTTCCATGAAATTACCACATTTGATACGGGGGTAACCATCTTCTCGCACAAGCCCCAAACTAATGCACGAAAGACACTTGTGGTGTTGTGGATCTGCTCTCGAAATCCAAAAATGAATAGAAAAGAAGAATGCATTTTCATCACAAACGAGCTGGCACCCTTCCGACCCTTTGTGGGTCAGGGTCGGGGGCGGGTCAAGCGCGGAGAAGTGATTAAAATATCAGTAACCTCATCAGTAACGGCGCTGCTTTGCTTGGTGGTCGCTTCCTCGTTATCAGTGCACTAACGAACAAGTCAAAGCATGTCATTTCAAAGCCTCACGCTTTCATTTTTATCGAAGAGTGGTGGTTTATCGCAAGGATTGATCTTCTGTGCAGCTGAAACCTTCAAACAATAGAGAGAGCGAGTGGCATATGCGATGGTAAGAACGGACCATAAGGGTCTGCGCACAGATTAAAGGCACCGTCCACCCTAAGTTGAGGGTGTTGAGCTTTTAGCAGCATATAACAGTAGGATCTCTTAGTAAGCCAATGCCCATGCGGCGCAAAATGCCGCTTTGGAAGCGAGAAAATCGCTTCGGAATAGTGAAAATGCACGAGGACACCCATCCATGCGCGCCCTTCCCCATCCATGCCCGCCCATTTGTGTGCGCCCATCCAATCACCGTTTTAGATAGCCGGCCTGTGGGTTCTCCGTAATGGGGATTTTCGGGATTTTCGCGGATACCCGACTTCATATTTGGAATAGGGACATGGGAAGGCCCTGGAACGACAAAAACCTGGAAGTCGAGAATCTGGGTGAACGGTGCCTTCAAACCCTCAGCGCAAAACTTGCCCTTGTTCTATGATTTAGCCCAATTACAGTATGCCTACCGTAATCGCTCAAAATGACACCAGTGTACGGAGCATACAGACTATCCGTATTAGCGTCCCGAATAACCGCAACGGTCGAAAATTCGGTCAGTTTTGTGGTTTTCTCAATTCTACGTATGGCTACTGTAAGTCCGCTATATGGACCCGCATCCCGAAATGCATTGTTGAGAAACTCGACCGATATTTCTATAAGTCCTATAATCTATAATTGTAACTGCGGGCTAGTGTCTAGTGGTATTTTAAGGTTTCCACCTTGATAACGGAACACACGACCAGATCGAAAACAAGAAAGTTTATCCGTATGCAAAACAAACAGTAACAATGGCCTTAAGGCCAACAACGAACGAAAACAACAAGAAAATACACGGAATCAAGGGGAATATCCCGATTCGTCCCTCCAGCAGGGCTTTACACGTCACGTTTGGATCAATTCTCGGTTAGTTTTCACGTGGGGAGGTCTGGCTCTCTCCTGACCAATTTTTGACTCCCGCGAGCCTCTTCTGCTCGCGGCTCCCCTCTCTCTTCCCCTTTTATGCCCTTCTGGAGGCCAAATCGGCCTCTTCTTTTCCCGGCATCAAATATTGTAGATCGGTGGTCCTTTCCATCCAACATAATTCTATACATCACGCTTGCAATGTTCAAGCGCAGCAGCTAGTCTTTTTTCTGCAGCTTCAGAATGCAGCTGCATGTATGAAAAAAGAGCGAGAAATTCGCAGCTGGTACTCTTCTCCTTACGATGAATCGCGCGTCACTGTTCATCGTTTGCTTCGTCCAGTTAGTCCTGCTTTCTAGATTTACCAGCATCATTGCCTTTGAAAGCTGAGTGCGCGGCAAGCCCTTTCTTTGTACGGCTGCTGCTGCGCCAAGAATCAAGTAAAAAGTAAGGGGGCTGCCGCAGCTGGCGAACTCCTCCTTTTGTTCTTGACTCAAGCGTCATTTAGTTATCATTGCTTCATCTTATTTGTTGTGCCTTATATTCACTTCCAATCTTAGTGCGTTTAATTACTTTCACTTCATTTAGATCAAAACATACCAAGTATATTTTATCACTAACGTTTTGCCATAAGCAGAATCTCATGTCAAGCTGTTATTATATTTCGCTTGCGATATCGTTCATTTGAAAATTTATATTAAGTAAAGGTTTAATTACCCAAGTTTGAGGTCTTCTCATGCACAACTCCGTCACTCTAAGGACCCGCGTGGCAGTTGATATTTTGGTGGTCATCGTCATCGACATCGTCAAGTGGTATTCGATGATTATAGTACTGACTATATATCTCGTCCCCACCCATTACATGCATACCACTTTTATGAACGGCGCCCCGAATAACCCCAATGTACAAAATTTCGACCAGTATCGTAAGTTTCTTCCATCTGCCGAGAACATGCCGTCATTTGCCAGATATACCGCAGTATAAATTGCATGCAAAATTCGTGATCAGCGCCCCGATTAACCCCACCGGCCTTAGTTTTGGCCAATTTTGTAAACGTTTACTTCTATCGTAAACCTACCGTAGGCTGGCTACAAGCCCATGGTGAAAACAAGTAGAATATTCGTGATCAGCGAACTGTAAAACCTCTTGGGCCAAGATTTTACAAAATTTCAAAATTTTTATACATAGCGCACCACGATACACCCCCATCATGCCTGCTGGAACTACGAGCAAAATGTACTCCGAGGACTCTTTAGCTGCCCCTTTTCTTTTGTGCGCTATTTCTCTTTCTCTGACAAACAGATTATCTCTGAGTGCCACGACAGACTGGAAAGCGCACCAAACTCAGAGCTCGTTGCGCATTTGGTGACGCTGTTTCTTGTGCAGAAATTTGGACAATGTTGCTCTACTAAGAATAAACAACCGATTACGGGATATCCTGCCATGCCAACACTTTCCAGATTTGGTCTGTTCAAGCACCTGTTAAAGAGCTCACAAAGTTACCACAGACATAACTCGAGGTAGTTTCTACAGGTTTGATACCGACGGATTCTTTGCCTACTCGTTGATTGGAGCGCGACATTTATCAAAGCCTATCTTTTTGAGCTTATTTATGGCCCAAAATAGAGAAGAGGCGATTTTTGAGCCTTTAATAATTCAGACCATAACTATCCAAAACTCATGTAAACTCTCCGATATTTAAGCTATGAACCAACCCATTTGGTTTGGTCGAAACCATCAGATCTGAGAGCAAGTATTACACAAGTAAGTTTTTGAAACTTTTTACGCAATATAGTTAAGAGTAGTGAAATCATCTTTATTTTAGAACCATTTCAATTTTCGCGCGTTTGTGAGAAAGAATCTGTTGGAGCATGTCAGCCATGAATCAACCCGATGGTGAAGCAGGTGAACATATTTAGAGGTCGGTGTAAGTATGTTCAACATGTTTTACGATATTCCCTTTTCTATTTGCCTTAAAACGAATTCAGTTTGGCTCCAGTACGTGCTGAGCCCTGAATGGGTAAATATTTTGCAAACCTAAGTTCAAGCCAGCTTTCTCTTATGAATATACGTGAGAGAAAAGAGCAAAGGATTCCGCCAACTATGCTACAATTTTGTAGCATAGCTGGTGGAACCATAAGAGATCAACTGTAATCTGACTAGTCAGTGATTTATGTTGTTGGCCAGTCTAAGTTACACATGATTCCACCTTCGGTAAAATGACCTACTTACTTTCTTTGCTTGGAAAGAACGTACTTTTTGAGTTTAAATTGGTTACTTCCTCAGCTATTCAATACAACCAGATAAGGAGTGAGGAGCGGTAAGGACTCTTTTGGAACCTGTAAGAATGGAACTTTTGGAGCACATTCTTTGCAGAGTTATGTTGCCTACACTTTTTTAGCTACGAAGTATCAGAAGTATCGAGGCAAAACCTGCTGCAGCAGTGACTGCTACGCGATTAAGTGATAGCTTTGAAAAAACAAATAATGGCCGTCAACCATTTAGCACTTCGAAGGCCAACTCTACTAAACGTTTGCGCGATTATCTAGTTTTGCATGCGCTGGGTGTTGTTTCAAGCTGGTAGTGCAATGTGATGCATGCTGCCAAGTAGTAGTAGAATGCTTTCAACTTATATTCCCTAGCTGTATATTCTTAATACAACTCGAACTTTTGAATGCTTTCGCAAGAGTAATTTCTGCAATCAAGAGTAAAGCACGAACTAAAACATTGTACACTTCCTTCGTTTTCCTATTTTACCCCGCCCAAATTTTACCCTTGTATGGTAATAGTAATGAATGACGTAGTTCCAGCTCAATTCTTTTTTTCTTCACAAAATGAAGTTGCTGCTGCTAACATCGATCGTGGTTTATTCAGCGGGAACAGGAACACAGTATCCTGCGTGCGTTAGCAATGATGGCGCAAATGTGGTAAGTGTTGTTATTCCTTTCGTAGCCCTTGAACGCGAACGTGTTGCTTCAAAAGGTGTCCAATGCCGCAAAGACTCTCGATAAAAGTAAGAACAACCATGTTGGATATCTCTGTGAAACTTTTGATATCAAAACTTCTCGTTTTCACTGCTTTTACGAAACCGCCCAAAATTTTTCATTGTCACCTTCGTTTCTGTTGTTGTCCATTGTTCAACGATTTCCTTTGTCACTTCTACCTGCCACCAAGTGTCAAAGTGGCCGCTCTTGTTCTTATGCTTGAGAGGTATTTTGGTGCATTTACCTCTCTCTTGTATTATAAATGGCAAGACATCTACATCATTCGCCTCTCCCTGATTGACAAAGCTAGAATGAACAAACTGCCTGAATTGGATAACTTCTTACCGAATCTGGCTCTTAAAGGCAGCGTACACCCAAAATCTAAGTTACCGAATCTCCTAGATCTTTCTATACCGTGTATGTGCTGGGCCCAGAAGAAGGCCAACTGCGTTGGTCCGGTCTCCCAATGTTGATTCTGAGCGGAGAAAACCCCTCTCAATTTTGTTTCACTCCGCCCCTTTTCTTTCACTCCGCCTCCTCCGGACGAATCCACGACAGCGTAAGCTTCAGTTGCCGTTGCAATGCTGTTGCACCTGCAACTGCAGTTGCAACAGTGCAGTTGCTTTTGCGGTGCGCCTTTTTCGGACGACGAACCACGACAGCATATGCAGCAGTTACAGTTGCAACTGCAGGCTGTCATGCTGTTGCAGCTGCTGGCATGCCGACGGGGACGAGCAGTTCGAAACTCGTCCGCCCCTGAAGAGAGGGTCCCCGGAATCGGGATTTTTTGGGACTTTTGGAGGATTTCAATGACATAATTGTAATCAGCGGCACGAAAAGGCCCCAGAATGACAGAAACATGGAAGGCGAAATTTTGTACGTGTACGCTGCCTTTAAGAAGTTTTTAGCCAAAGAGTTTATTGCCACTACAAGCCTTGTAACCCAACTAGTCACAATACCTTCATTGCTTTTTCAAAATTCCTCTAATTGCAGATCCCGATATTCTAATATTAGCCTCAATCTTTCTCCCTTCTTAAATACAATCTTCAACACTTTTAAAATAAATCTAATCACCTTTTTTGCTCTAACCTTTTCCCGTTATATTTCCGCACAGGATATCTTCAAATCTAAACTACCACGTAGTATAGTTTATTGCTTTCTTTTCTTACATTGACTTTTTCATTGCCGATGTGCTCCGAGTTCCTCATTCTTTCTGACGCAATGCCCTCATTGTTCCAACAAATCCTCCTCGAAAGTTACATCTTCGTACTTAATACACTCTCAATTTGAGAATGCTAGTAGATTTTCTGCAGCCTTTCTTTGTTTATTGTACCAGTTCTGGCTGCAAGCAGAGAAGAGAGTACAGTAAAGGGCTGTTATCACAAAGCGTGCATCTTTCAGTATCGGTTTCAACGGCTCCTTGCACAGAACTATTTTCTGCAATGAAGAACATACTAAGAGGTTCTCAATGCCCCTGTCGCTGTTTTTTATTTCGCTATGTAACCCATCATTCGTTTCCTTTTGGAATGGTGTCACCTTGTTCAGCGAGGACCGATATTGCTCTGATATTCAATCTGTGGTTTCGGAGTAGTTGCCAACTATGCTGATAGCTATTTGGGGTAGTTGCTCTCACCTTTTCGGCGTAGCAGATATACTTGGGTAATTCGAAAATTTTTCATCGAATGAATGAATATTGAATAAATTCGAAAGGAAAATTTCGAATAAACGAATGTCGAATAAATTCGAAAATAAAAAATCTCGAATAAACGAATATCGAATAAATTCGAGGTTCAAAATTCTCGAATGAATGAATTCCGAATAAATTCGGAAAATCAAAAACATCGAATGAATGAATATCGAATATAATCGAACATTGGAAGTCGAATTTCGAATTAATATTCGAATGAATTTTGAATTGAATTTTCGAATAATTAGAGCAACTATATATCAAACTTGCTGACAAATCTGGCTGAAGCCGACCCATTCACATTCAGCACCATCGTACTCCTATACCAAATCCTAGCTCAAAATTTTCCGAAAATCGCTGAAATCGATAAAATAGATTCCAGTTTTAATCAGCATCCTCATTTACCCCCCCCCCCTGTACCAACTCCTAAACTCGCAGCTCAAGATTCTCCAAAAATCGACAAAATCGATAAAGTAAATCTTTATCCGTAATCAGCACCCTCACTTACCCCCTTGTACCAACTCCCAGCCCCGCAACAACGGTGGCCACATATATACTTAAATGCCACAAATGCTACGATACATTGCCTGTTTATCGGAGACTTTCGTCTTGCGTGGTATAAGCTAACCGTGGACGAAGGCATATGGTTTATTCCGCGAAGCGAGCACGATTGCCCCTAGCCCTGGGCATACTGCAGACATTTCAGTGGCGACGTGATTTGGCAATAGTCATGCCCAAAACTTATTCTAAAAGTACAGAGAATGCAGGGCATTTGTCATTTTGGTAAATTGTACACGCTAAACATTTGTGGTAAGCTGGCGTTACATTTGAAGACATCTCGTAACTGGCAATCGCGTACGGCGATCTAAACCGTCTAATCCTCCCAACTGCGATGGCCTGTTCTCAAAATACACCAATTCGCAAAAAAAACTCTAAGGTAGGGAATAGAGGCAGTTGTGCAATATAACTTATGCGAGCAAGTGTGGGCTTTGCGTACCACAAGCATGAGCAATCCAAAGAAAAAAAAATAGGCATTTCAAAACACTTTCAATATACTATATGAACTCGGAACACGAGCTTGAATTTGGTAGATTCTTTGCTGATTTGGTGCCAATAGCAATGCGAACAATCTCATTGATCGAAAAAGCATCAATTAAGGTCCACATATGATCTTTTTACTGTCAAGCAGTCGGAAGAATGCGACCTTCCATACAGTTTAAAGGTCATAACGGTTGCAAAAGATGCATTACCGAGTTTTGCGAAAAAAAAACGCGGACGAAGTGAGCTTGATACTCAGCAGTTGGGGGTGGAGGAATGAACACCTCAATTAGGCACAGCCTCCGCGGACCACTGGTCCCAACACGATGCACAACAGCAGGACGAAAGGACCAGCAACCCGCGGAGGCGATGCCTAATTGAGGCGTTCGTTCCTCTACCCAGCAGTTGGCTCTGCAACAAAGTCGAATAATTTGAACACGGAGTTCATTCGAATGAAACATTCGAATAAAATCTATTCGAAACCCCGTTTTTTGATTATTCGAGTCGAATAACATTCGAATCCTCGTTTTTTTGATTATTCGAGTTTTCGAATTTTATTCGAAAATTAATCTGCACCAGTGCGAGTACGGTGGGTGTATGGTAGATAGATAAAGATTCAAATTTGCTCAAAACGTTGCCTAGAGGGGTTAAAGTGCTGATAACGAATATCATGCTTGCTTGCTGCAACAAGCCCTCTTGTAGAGTTGAAGGCAGCGTTCGGGCAAGATCCATCCACCCAGGAGCACATAGTTGTAAAGAGTGGCCCATGAGTATCCGATTTGCGTTGGTCCGATCCTCTGACGTGGCTTCTAAAAGGAGATATGGGCCTGTGATACGTATCACAAACCGTCCCTTCGTATCACGAACCACCCCTGAGGACGTGTGCTCACGCATCGATCGATCATGGATTGCAACTGCACTCATGCAGTTGCAGCTCCTCCTCGGTGGCGAGCCGAGGAGATAAACAATCCGAAACTCGTCCGCGCCTCCAAAAGGGTCTCCAGTCGGGTTTTTTAAGGGTTTTGGACAATCTGGACTTTACAACTGTAATCAGGGCCAGGGAAAGGCCCCAGGATGGCAGGAATGTGAGAAGCGAAATTTCGCCCGCTGCCTTTAAGATAATTTGCAGTGTATAGGTAAACACCTCCCGCTTTTAAGGCCAATTAGTTACCAAAAATCCACGGAGGCCCTTATTGCTGAGTGAGCACAATATTCGTGCTAAGGACATCAGATATCCCCTTGCAAATTAGGCAGATTCACAATTCTGACCCTTACCATAAATCTACCTCTACGAAAAGACCCTAGAACGCAAGAAGACTACGAATTCGTCATCAGCATTTCAAATAACCCCGTCATACCAAATTCCAGTCAAATCTAAAATCCGACCCCCTATCGTGCACCTCCGTGACCATGCAGCTGAACGTTTTATGCGATAAAGGTGCGGTATTCGTAATCAGCATGTCCAGTGAGCCCTCTCTGCAAAGTTTCAGGAAGATCTGAAATTTTGGCCCCGTACTGTGTGCTTCTCGCAACTCCCCAAAAAATATCGTGTCATGCGAATTGAATATCATTTTGTGATCAGCAGGTCGAATTAACCCCCTCAGGCGACTTTCAGCGAAATTCATAATTTTGAGTTCGGGCTGTTTTAAGTGGAATAATATCGATAATTTACACATTTTTTCAGTTTTGTAAAACCGTTTTCTTCCTAAATTCAAACAAATTTCAAGCATCCGTAAAACACAGCATAGTTGCCTTTTAGTTTACGATACAGTCTCTTATTAGGCTGCATGCACGATATACAGCCAAAGAGGTTCGCAGCTCAAACAAAAACTTCCTATTTTGAAGCTCCAGATGTTTGAATCTCGCGTTATCTGTCCCACAAGTTTCCCACTGCCCTTCACTGTGAGTATATGAAAAAGGGCGCATTGTTGTATAAGCCGCGTTTTCCAGCCTTTTGCCTTCTGATGTTCCTCAAAACCGACCTTCTTTTCTTCTAAGTCCCTTTTCTTTCTTCGAATTTAATGATAATCTATACAAATTTCGGACGTTTTCCCTGACTACAAAGAATAATATTTTGGAGAGACGGTTGGTCGTCGGGGATCACCATTGGACCTAAAACTGGAAAGGCCGCTCACACAACATTGCGTTCCTTTTCGATGTGTTTATGGTGAAGGGTAATAGGAATAATGAATAGATAGGCAGCGTGAAATCAGATATCTAGAGCTTCTAAAAATGAAGCTTTCTTTTGAGCTGATATGCCCTTCCTAGCGGAATATTTATGCATGCGGCCCTTAGAAGAAGAATTCAGTTGTGTCAATCAACAGCTGCATTGCCAGTTTACTTTTTTATGATCTGTCACTAGGCAGATTGACACCAATATCACACATTGCAGCTTCCAATACAACAAATTGCAGAGAGCTTCGCATTACCCTTTTCTTCGAGGGGCAAGCTGGTCAGCTGTAAACGCCTTCAATGAAATTATAGGTGTGAGTCAAACTTGCTGAATTTTGAGTTTTCTATGTGATTTATGTGACATCTATGTGATCTGACTAGAAAGTCTAAATAAAGTTTGATATTAATAGTGCTTTTAGAAGTATAACATTACTAAAGAGGACCGCGACGAAGCCTTAGATAAATGGGCTGTAGACAACGATTTGCTTGTAAGTGGAAGTGATTCAAAAGACACGATTGTCTTCTATGTTGCTGTGCTAACACTCATTCAGGACGTTTACCGTAAATACAGGACCACCGTAGAATCAGCCAGAGAAGAACGACGGAAGGCAATTCTTGGCACGCTAGATTACTTGCGAGGATTTTTTGAAAAGATTGGAGAGCTTCAAGCTAATAAGGTGGGTGAGCAGTTGATGTTGGGAGTTTGAATCACGCAAATTTTCAGAGTTACACCTGCACTCAGGAGTCTGATGGAATTCGTGAGTTATGCTCTACGCTCAACTTTCTCGAACGTCGGCTTGTTGATACCCTGATGTTCGCGTACAGGACTGGCTCAAGTGAAAAGGTCAAAAAGGCACTGAGATTAGTTCCCGACGGCAATTAGAAAAGCGCACAAGTTTTTACCTTGAAGTGGTTATTTTGTGTCTGTTTAATGCGCCCCAGTTGCACTACTAGAAAACTCTTGTAAATATAGATTTTTCAATGTTTTATTGAATTAAGTAATAAAGAGAAAAACTTCGAGCAAATGTTTGATTCCTTTTAATGGATCTTCTCGCTCATTTGGTGTCTCGCAGAGAGTCACCGGCGTTTGCTAGAACAATATTGTCAGATGCTTCACCATGAATTCTTGGCAAATGTCCCATCTGCAGATACGTTCTTAATATGTACTTTTGTAGCTATTGAAAGCTGAATACACAGATCTGCACCTCACTTTTTCCCAATCTTCTTCTCCACCGACCGCAAGCTAATCCGTATGCAGTAGTCAGGAGCAAGTTTGATATCAGCAGGACGATTACTACTGATATTCCGTAGTAACCACCTTCTGGGGCAAATAGCATGCAAAACCACTAACGAATAGAGCAATAATAAAATGAACTTCCGTCGTGTCATGCGAATAAACGTTTTCAGGTTTATCAAGTACAAAATCAATGAAGCGCATTCAGCGTTCATTCCGAAAAATGCATTAGTTCCAGGTCAAGGGCCGGTATACATCACGCGTTTTCATCGCTTCGGAATATCCCCAACAAGACAATTGTGACGAATTCATTGAATGCCGATCATAATTCGGCTGTGATAGTCTTCCGACACGACTAATCGCGGCTAACTATTACAACCGAAGCATAAGATGATCGGCATGCACTGCATTCGCAAGTTTTCGCAGTTTTTGGGTGATTCGCGAGGCAATGAAATCGCGTGTTGTATGCCCGGCCTTTGGGCTTTGGCCATACCTGACGCGATGTCTGTCGCGACGCGATCTGGCAATACTTCAATTATTCACAACTCATGGTGCGTGCGTTCTAAAAGTGCAGAAAATAGGGCATTTAATCAATCTATGCGCTGCTGCATGACGATGGCGCAATATCCTTGGGCGCGAACGCGGCTTTAAGCCGTAGGAGGCGCGGGATTTACAACGGTGATGATACGCGCGCGCCGAGTTCGCGCCCGCTCAACTAATGCTGCTTCTGTGCCTTGCCATCAGTAACCTTCAAGAAGGTTGTATAAACCATGCACTTGCAGTCTGCAAGTGATGGATGTGAAGACATTTGGTAAATTGCCATATTGCATGGCGACTAAAATCGCATGGTAGACCGAGGTTTTGTGCGAATTTAGCCCTAAAACAGCGATTGTGAAGAGAATAAACTGAAATCCGCATAAAAGGCGAGTATGATGAGCGTGAATTCAAAAACTAATCGATAGAACTTGTTGTGCACAAAACTACATCTTAACTTACCTTTTTCGCCTTCATCAGCAACGATTTACCTAGGGTAATACCTCTCGCGATTTCGCGAAATCGCCACATCTTCGCGACTTGGCGATTTGCCAGATGTCTAGAGATTGAGCATGCGAGGCTTCCAGATGCATAAGTGCGTAGATCCCGTAAATTGTAACAAACTCAGCAAGTCTGGTTCAAGCAGAGTACGTTTACGACCAGCTATGGAGAGTCGTTGCAGTGCCAAATCGCGCGGCGACTAAAATCGCGTGAGGTATGCCTTAGGCCTAAAAAGCCTAGGATAAGCAAATAAAACGCTAGAAAACACCCGCTCGGGAACTCGCAATGGTCAGAGAACAGATCAAGACAGGTCACGAGTAGAAGAAAGAAAAAGGAGAAAGAAGAGTGAAAGAAAATTGAATATCAAGAACAAAGCTGGAACTGTAAATGAAAATTCAAAGCGAGAGGACGCAGGAAAGTTGACGCCGGGGTGAGATATCTAACAAGGCGTTTTTCGAAAAAAAGAGGGGAAAAACCAAGGCCAGAAGGCGATATGAAACTGTCTTTATGCTTAAGGATAGGTTTTTGACCGGGGTATCCGTCTTTATTTTAAAAAAATCCGAAACCTATGCGAAGTGACACAAATATATGCTTCAGACGATCTCGGATCGTCTGATGGCCGTCTGGAGAACAACTAATTTTGGGAAAGGTATTTCTTCACATAAGTTTTCAAATATTTTTACATAAATTCTTTCGGAAATAATTTCATGTTTACGGTTCAATTTTGGTGTCATGTGATTCTGTGTGCGTTGTAAACAAGCAATTTGTTTATTTTAGCTTTCCTTTCAAACCGCGCGACTTTTCACCATACACGATAGAGCATGTCAGTTGTATGATAAATAACCTGTCCGAAAAGCTTGTGTTCTAATGGTGCTTATCCTTGGTGGTCGGCCGCGATTCCGCAGAAACGGTAGCCCCTTTGCTTTTTGCTTCAAAAACGAAGTCCAGCCAGCTTCCAGACGATCTGTGGCGGACCCTGGTGGTACCCCATCTCGGGATCCCGTCCATAGCTTCTTTAGATAGGAACCTCCAAACCGCTGAAGAAGGCTTTCGAAATTCTTACTTGATCAATAATCGGAGTGCAGAAGATCAGCATTGGAAACAAATTGTGGTAGGATTGAATACCTCAAATTATTTTAATGCTTATTACTCAATTTGCTTTATATTTACCGAAAACACTTGAAGAATAAATAATGGTGAAAATAATCTCCTAGCGAAGTATCCACCGGATTGCGCTTGCGCAACCTACAATCGTGAGAGCGAACCTTGTGTCTTTGGAGTAATACTTATCTCTAAACTATGAGAAAACAGAACATAAATTTGATAGCAGAAATAAGCCCAGAAAAAAAGCTAAGACATGACACTTTTTCTTTGTGCTGATTAGTTTCGATAAAAGATTTTCCTCTTTTGCTTGTGTCATTACTTCGCGCCTAGATGAAAAGTTGAGCTTTTAGAAAATTTGAACGAAGTTGGTCGACCAAATGTTTTACGAGAAAAGTTCCTTTCAGAAGCTTTTGTTGCTTGCGCTGAAGTAAATTACTACTCTCAAAATTGTCTATGATGCAAAATATAAGTGGTCTGATGATCTGACAAAAAAAAGCATGTCCAGTCAAATCTTGGCAAAAAATGCATCGATACTGCAGAAGCTTAACAGATTGACATAAAACACGGCGCTTTACATCGTTTCTAACAACTGATATAACTTGGAGTTGAAAAAGACTTGCTAAAACGTTGCATGAAGCAACAACTTATGTCTTTTTAACCACCTTGATGAAAAAACTCTTCAATTGAAATTTTGTGATACCTTATATGAGTATTAGATTAGTGCACTTCAACGTTTGTAGCAAATGCTTTTTCTGCATGTCGGGCTATTTCCAGTAAAACCGATCTGCCTTATTCCAGTAAAGGAACAACGTTCGACGGGATGATATCATCGAACTTCTCCGTTTGTCAGCTTCTCTTTACGATTGTGAGTGATTTAACACGTTTCGGACCGGTGCTGCACATGGTGCAGCACCCTGCTTTGGAGGATCTTTTTGGCGTTTATAGAAAGTTTTCTTTTGATCCAAGGTTATCAAGTCAAAGGCCTAAGCTTCTGTTTTTCAAATGACTCTGTGGAGTTGTGCTGCCGATATTTGTTAAGGAGATATGAGCACGAATCGAACAACAGTTGCAACGAAGTGCGAATGCGAACGACGCGTGCGACGTCGCAACTTTCCTTTGCTTTGATATCAAAGAGAAAAACCGTGATTTTGATACTAATGTGTACCGTCTATAACATAGATACTTTTGGATACTATTAGAAACTGAATTCTTGTTCCTATCTTTCAGGAAAGCACAGGAGTCCTTCACAAGCGACAAAATTTCAGAACTTTGGGTATGGAACTTATCTGAGAAGCTGATTACAATGTAGCACACAGCCTGCGATATAAGGTCCCTTTGCTGGCTAATGGCTGAAGGTGCACTCTTTTTCGCCGCGCGCGATTTCGCGGTGCGAAACGTGTTAAGATTTTTCAACAGTATACAGTACAGCGATAACTTCAATACAGCGTAAGCTTGCCTGCGCTATACAAACCCGGGAAATTTATGTTCAGCTAAAATTCCACAAGGTTACAACACACATGTATATGTTCCTGCATGAAGAAGGCGCAATATTTTCGGGAGCGAACGCGGCTTTATCAGCCGCAGAGCGCATCAGTCGCAGGCTTTTTAACGGTGAAGATGCGCGCGAATCGCATTCGCGCCCGTTCAACTAATATTGCTTCTAAGCCTTCATCCTGCAGTAGCCTCTGTATTTTTACCATTTTACCATGCAAAAAACAGCCTTTAAAACCAAGCACCTCATTTTAAAGAGATGTAGAGGGAAGGGAAGCGTGTCAGTCAGGAGTCTTAATGGGCTGGAGATTCGCACGTTATGGAGAATATCCTCATCAAACAAACCCATTTTCGATAGCAGCAGTAGTAAAAAAAACCGTGAATTCGAGTTAAATGTGCAAAAAATGCGGGTTTTACTATTTTTTTGGGACCTAATATAAGGAAGTTTGCTTCATCAGAAATCAGTCAGCAAAGTCGTCAAAAATCAAACCATGTCGGTTCCGAATTCGGGTGATTCTTGAGCATATCCAGACCGCATGTTTCGCTATGATTGTGCAGCTGCACACCAAACTAGGCTGGATGTTGTTCTACATGCATGCATAAAAAATTCTTTGGTTTTAGGGTTCAATCACCTTTGATCGGGAGCATTCACAAGCCTGAATAAACACTAGCGCAACAGATATAAGGGCTAAGCATTGTTACTAATGATACGCCAATGCTTGCTCAACACTTTCTGCCAGCTTGCTACCGTTAACATTTTCTATCAAGTGGTTTCCTAATTGCCTAAATTCTACCAAGCACGTTAATCAAGAAACGTGGACCTGGATCAAAGTTTTATTGTGTAGCTTTTTTTCAAAGATCATCTTGATCTAAATAATACAAAGGTTTTATCATCAACTTCTTATGTAGCCATCTCTAGCGCTATAAAATATAGTAGAATGAAGTACACGAAGAAAAAGCGCAAGACGGTTTTAGCCTTCTATAAACTCTTCTTTTTTGAAATAGCATGCATTTCAGAATGAAAACTGTGTTATTCTTGCTATCTATTGGAGGTGTGTTCTGCGCCACAGCTTACGATCCCTATTATCCGTATGGCAACAACAATCAGGTCAGTCTAATCACTGCTAGCCTTCGTGCGTACCTTCAATCTTATTTTTTCGTAACAAAGTATTGCATGAAAGATAATGGGTAACTTTTTTCTTTATTTCAACTATTACATCATACCGAGTGATCTGTTAGTCATAAATCAACGATACAACAGAGTAAAAAAATTTATCGAGCAAGAGCTTCTAGTCGGACTTAAGTCTAGCTTGAAATAAAATGCTTTTGCACTCTTTCGTAGAGGTCTTTAATAGTGCGACTGCCTGAGGCAAGCATTTAAAAGCAGTTTTAACACTCCTCAATGTTACATCCGCAATTAGCTAGAGTCTTACTCCAAAGGTTTTATGTCATTGAGCAAAGGCCGTGCAAAAGCTGAATTCTAAGGAGCACTCTCAACCAAGCTTACCATTTTACGCTGCCTGATAAAAAAAGATATCCAACAAATTATTCTTTTTAGTCCTCTCAGTTACAATTTATATAAAGGAATTACTCTTTTTGCCTACAGTGGACAAATGTTGAAGACAAAATTGAGATAAAGGTAGCGTCAAACAATGTACCGTTCAGAATGTAAATACTCAAATCACTACACTGGATGGAATCTTGGCGAGAGCTTCACCGCAAGCCATCAGAGCCTATACCCAAATTGTGCAGGTAATTTTTAGTGAGAATTACTAGTTAAATTGCGAAGAGTTGATTGTCCTACATATCAACAGAATTTCTCACAATCGCTCGCTGATGTCAAGACTGCTCTTGAAAGCTGGTCTAGGACGTATGGACTTGAGGTAAAATATTCAAATATTAGACTATTTGGAGATTCTCAACCTAGAATGTCATCAATAGTAAATTTCAGGAGCAGTACAAGAAATTTGTTGCCGATTCTGAAAAGGAAAACGCTGATTTCAAGAAAGCTGTCGCTGATCTAATGCCTAAGCTCACGAAATTTTTCAATGATTACAACAAGATTGGAGACGACAAGGTCTGAATTTATTTCGTACATACTATAACAAATTATTTTTGCAGAAACAGTCGATAATGGCAGCTTTCAACAAGACAGCAGCTCTGACGAATACATTTGATGATAAGCAAAAAGCGATCATAGAGCTCATCCTGAAAACTTATCTTCCGTCGTTGAACTCTGGTTCGAACAATCAAGGTGGGAAGGGCTTACGGTGGTGGAGGAAACTATTGATATCAAGTGAAGAAGAATGTTTAGGTATCCCGGTTAACGGTGGCTACCCTGGAAGCAACACAGGATCCCCAGTATATGGCGGAGGCATCCCAGTCAACAATGGCGGCTATCCTGGAAGCAATACGGGATATCCAGCAGCCGGAAATTACCCGGGATACGGAAATAATGCGGCTAACAATGGGGGATACCCAACGAACTACGGAAGCTATCCATTGAACAACGGTGCTTATCAGGGAAACGGAGGATATCCAAGCAACAGTGGATTTCCTGGCAGCAACCTAGCCTACCCAGGTTACGGTAGTCTCCAGGGAAATAATGGCTACCAAGGAAACTATCCTTATGGCAATACTGGCTCCAACTATGGCTTCCCATCCAATCAGGGAGGTTTCCAAGGACCGAATGGAGCATCCCAAAATGGCTACAATGGCTTTCTCAACAACAACGGTAATGGTGTCAAACAACCTAGCTTTGGATCGAACGCCATGCAAGGAGGCCAAAGAGCCTTTTTCTAATGTAATGTACTGTTTAATTTTGATATGCGGTTATTGATGTTATAGGGGAGAAAATTAGAAGTAGCCTTAAATTAATGATGTTCACACTGCAATAAAGATGATTTTCACATTTCTTCTAAACCTTTACACAAAAATTCCATGCGATCCTTCCCCCTTGCAAAAAGTGGTGCAGTGTGAGGAACTATGACAGTGGCTTCTAAATTGTCTCTTGGAACGCGATAACCCCCTGGTGCAAAATCCCGGTATACAGACAACAAAATCTACAGGATATACCAAATGTTGTTTGAAATCTCTCGACGTGCCCTTCATGTGCTGTCATACAAGTTTGTCCAAAAGTTCGTTCGCAGCATTTTCTGAGCAATCGTAACCCTCTACCATTTGCATGATATTGACTGTAATAAATTTTATTGGACTGGAGAGATCATGTAGTCTTTAACTGTAGCTTAATTGCTTTCTCTCATGACAAGTCGCAGAATTGAAAATGCAAAAATAGATCACTCAAATTTCAATAAATTCAAGCATAAAAAGGATAAAGGAAAAGATTCGGAGTCTTCAATATCCTCGGCGGGCATGCTCCGAACGCACTCTACTTCATAGTCGAAGAGGCTGAAGAATGCGTGCGCGCCTAATACAATGGCATGCGGGGCCAACCGGTTACAAGTCAGTGCTATTACCCTCCCAGTTTACTCTGGTACCAATTTACCGGCCCCCGGAGGGTAGAGGGTTTGGTTCAGGGCCCGGCACGAGCTTGTCAAAAGAGGTTTTCGAAAACGAATTCCCCTTTGACCCCAAAATTTTCTACGAATACCCCTTTGACTCAGAAATTGGCCCTTGTACTTGTGCAGCGAAACCCTTTACCATGAAACACAATTTTTATTGAAGAAACTACTAAAAGAATCTATCGACAACAATACCAAAAAAAACAAGTGGTGATTATTTCGGAATCTACAATGACGTTTACATAAAAAAGCTCCTCAACAACAAATCATCTCGTGGTGTTGATCCTGACATTCGTAGTTAGGTCGCCACAGAAAAGGAGGACATCGCAGGTCGAGCTTCATTGACTAAGAAGGATTGCGCGATCGATCTGAATCATAAATTTCAAGATTGCCGTCGTTGACAAGATGCAAGAAGTATCGACTACACTCACAAGGGAAGGATACCAACATTAGTTGGCAATTGAAGATGAGATGTATATCATTAGATCCGCCTTTAAACGCTGATTCCAAATCTGCTTTCCTATTTTGCGGAATAAGTTTCCGAAAGAAGTTATGAGCGTTTGAATGTCCAGATTTGCCAAGCATTGAGCGGCTTGAAATCAGCGAAGTGCTCTAAAACAACACCTATGGGATTTCCACCGGCTGTGTTCCTTCCTCAATATACTCGATACAAGAATAATTTTTCACTTTCCAGTGTTTTTGTACAGCTTGACGCCAATTTTGAGCCACCTAAACCTTCACAAAATTGGACATTTGAACGCCCACAACTTCTTTCGGAAACGTATTCCGCGAAAAAAGAAAAGCAGATTTTGAATCAGCGTTCAAAGGCGCGTCTACTGATATACATCTCATCTTCAATCGCCAACTAATGCTGGTATACTTCCCTTGTCAGATGTGTCCGAAGTGGTTAAATGCGTTTCCTCGTTTCTTAACACCCACATTCCATAATTCTAGAGTTGATGCGATTTGACATAAATAATGTTCTAAACCAGATGCAAGACTATGGTAATGCATGGTAAGCATGGAAGAAAAAAAGCATCACCAAGGTGTGACCTAACAATAAGTGCAGTCATAATATAGAAAAGAAAAAAGCAAAGGGCACAGAGAAGAAAATTGTTTACTTTCAAGTTTCATATTTGTTGTAAATGACCCGCTTGTTTTCCATACTTACAAACATGCAACACCGTGTATTGCACAAATGCTCTAATAGCTACTGCAGGACGAAGGCGCAGAAACAACGCGCGCATATCTTCACCGTTTTGATTCTTGCGCCTCCTGCGCTCTGCGGCTGATAAACCTGCGTTCGCGCCCAAATATATTGCGCCTTCGTCATGCAGCAGCCTATAGAACATCACTTCCAGCTATGTAACCATCCCCGATAAAAAGCACGGATCGTTAAAGAATAGAAAAAGCAAAGAAACACTTTGAAAAATCTTAGCTGGATGTAGGCAATACTCCTCGCGTCCGTCCTCAACGGCAATGGGCTAAGTGCAAACGTTTTACAAGCCTGTTCAAGCTAATTTGTGATGAAAGATCAAGAGAATGACAAAAAAAAAACTAGAAAATTGTTCTATCATTGAGCTGCAGCGTGCGCCAGGGACATTAGCCTAACATGATGCTCCTCGGCTGCAAAAGCGGCAGCGCCAGCTCGGTCTGACGCTTCCTTTGATGTCTAACTTTAAATGGGTTGTTTCAGACTGCCGCACTGACCGCAGCAGACTGCAGCAGACTGCAGGACTGCACTGACTGCAGCGGTCGCACAGATCGCGCGTACTGCGTCCTTTCATAAGGGTGGATAGGATGAATAGTTGTAACTCAAACAATCAACAACAATATATATGTCTAGACCCACGACACGAGCGAGAGTATTAGAAAAGGGATAAATAGGACGAATCAGAACAACTATGAGCATATCAAAGAAAAACAATCGCCAAAATTTGCTTAAGAAGAGTAAAATAGAACCTTCTATGGACTTCCTAGGCGTAAAGCACGGTATTTTGACGTAAACGCTTGTTCTCCTCTACGAAGGATGCAGCGATCAGTGCGGAAGCTGCAGTCAGTGCGGTCACCTACAGTCTATGGCCCCGGGCATACTTCACGCGATTTGGTCGTCGCGATTAAGCCGCTACAAGACAAGTGTTGCGAGTTCATTGCATGCCGATCTTCTTGTATTTCGGTTGTGATAGTTAGTCACGATTAGCCGTGTTTGAAAACTACTATCACAACCGAAATGCAAGAAGGTCGGCATTCAATGATACTGTTACAGTTGTCTTATCGCGAGCAGTCGCGACGATCAAATCGCTTGAAGTATGCCCGAGGCCTAATGCGGTCAGTGCGGCAGTATAAACAACCCAATGAGAGCCTTCAAACCGCGCCGGTTGCCGCTTTTACGCAGAAGCACCATTGTAAAACGCGAAGAACCGGATACCACATCAGACAAACAATGTGCAAAGAAATTCTTTACCATAGAAGGGAACCTTCAGAGCGGCAAGTTAACGACAAAACAAAAAATCGTGCAAGTATCCTGCGAACAAACACTTACGCGCCCCACAGACAAAACTGACCTCGGGCTTCGGCGCAAAAGCGCCAACCGGCCGCACAAGCCGCAACCGAGCGGTCTGGAGGCTTTTTTAAGCCTTGGCATACCTCACGCGATCGCAGTGTGACGCGATTTGGCAATACTCCAAGTGATTATAACTCATCCTAGGCGCCTTCTGGATAAACAGAACATAAGGCATTATCGATCTGCGAACGTCTCCTCTTTACATTTAGAATGGGCTCAAAAATTGTTATGGATAGTAAAAATTTGCCAAATCGTGTCCCAGCTGAAATCGCGTAATGTGTGGCCAACGCCTTATGCCAACGAGCATGCTGCTCTCAACGAAGTGCTACCCACATGGGAGTGGTCAATTTACTGAGCAAACAAAAAATATAGAAATACTTTTTAAAAAAATACATGAAAATCTTGAAATAACGAAGAAAATCTCAAAACGAAAAACACTGTTGTTTACCTAACGTTCTGCAAAAGCCAGCACACTGTCGAATCCCGCATTTTCAGCCATACATGTGAAAAGGCGATAATGTGTTCCTAGCCCCTTCACCCCAGGGCCGGAACCCAGCTGACCCCCCTTCACCCAAGGCCGATGAGGAACTGTAAAAAGTGAAAATAAGAAGTTAATATTTTAAGCAGAATTATAAAACTATCCACATTATTAAAATTAAACTTAGCATTATTTTTATTCATAATATCATTAATATGATCATCAAAAACCTATCTGCAGGTTCACTGAGAACAACGTCGGAAACTTGCCGCCTATTGTTCACTTTTGGAAAACGACGAAAAAGCCTGGAGAAAAATTTACGTGTGAAGCCTCCATGTGTATATGTCAATGAAGTTACTTACGTATTTGCTTAAATAATAATGATCGGTGCGCAGTTGAATTGCATTCTTTTTAAGGAGATAAATTTTCTAGGCAGATGGCGGAATCTGTGTAAAGTCATTGAATGATTCGTTAAAGAGTGTCCCAACTTTTAATATTATTTCTAAACTCCGACAGAGATCGTAACATTTGCGTAGAGAAGAAGCTGCAACCAAGAGCACGTATTACATCGAAGACTTATTGTAATCAGGGTTAGTATTACTGTCAAAATGCTATAGCTACGAGGATCGTGGAGTTCTACAATCCGCCTACTTGGACGATGATAGGGATGAGGAAGGACAGGTGATGCATTTTTCCACTGGAGCACTATACAAGAGGAGAAGGACAATCATATATGATCACTGCGTGATTATTCTGAAAAAAATTTGTTTTCCTTCGAAGAAGATTGAGAAATATAAAAGATCTTAGCAGGAAAACGCAGTCATAATTAGCCTAGTCTGGTTGAGAAGTCTAGTTTCCATCCGATTTTAGAAGACATACAGCTTGCCAGGAGAAAGAGGAATTTAATTCTGCCAAGTAGAGATAGTTTCGGTCATTTTTTCAAAATTGTAGAATTTTTGTATAAAAAATTGTAAATTTTTGATATAAGAAGATAAGAGAGTTTCTAGCCCTACATTGAATTACTCTTGTTGAAAGCTTTCAGAAAATATATAGCTTACCAAGAAAGAAAGGATTTTCCTATAGGGTGAAGGTGGTCGCAATTGCTTTTCTAAAATTAAGGAAAATTTTTTATAAAAATTCATAACTTTATTATGTGAAAAGCTAGAAGAGTGTTTTGCACTCTATTGGAATCCTCTCGTTGTCCGCTTCAGAAAATATATAGTTTGCCACGAAAAAAGAG